GAGTAGTAGTTAACTGTGTTTTCATCTTATCATTATTTCTTAAAATATATGTTGATGTTTTCTACACCTTTATATACATATGCCATATTTCACAATTTTTAAAGGTTTTTAAATGTTCAATAGATGGATTTAATAGCAGATGAGATATGGCTGGAAAAACTATTAGTAAATTGTAAAACAGAGTTAAAGAAAGTATCCAGAGGGTCGGCCCGTGGCTCACTCGGGAGAGCGTGGTACAGACAACACCAGGTCAAGGGTTAAGATCCCCTTACCGGTCATCTTTAAAAAAAAAAGAAAAGAAAAGAAAGAAAATATCCAGAAGCGCAAAGAAAGAAAATTTGAAAAACAGAAGATGTGGAAGACAGAGTGAAAAGGTCTAACAAAAATCTAATTGCCAAGCCAGAGAGAGAAGACAGAGAGAATGAATCAGTGGCAATATTTTAAGAGATACTCCCTAAGAACTTTCCAGAACTGAGGAAAGATACAAATCCACAAATTCAAGAAGCCCAATAAATCCCAGGCATTAAAACAGAAATAGACCCACACCTAGACACAAGATCTTAAAAGCAGCCAGAGAAAAAAAGCTAATTACCTTAAAAACCATGACTTTTAGACGCAAGCTGACTTCTCACTAGCATCAGTGAAATCCAGAAGACAGGTGAATAATGTCTCAATATGCTGAGAGAATAACTGTCAGAGAGGAAAAAAAAAAAAGGTCACATTCAGAGAATCAGAGGTCAGAATGCCTTCAGACTTTTAGGCCACCGCACATCGAACTAGAAGATGATGAAGTAATGCCTTTGAAATTCTAAGGGAAAAATTATTTTCCAACCTAGAATTCTACGCCCAAACTGTGAGGTTAAAGACATTTTCAGACATGAAAGAACTCAAATAGCTTACCTCCTTTACATTCTTCCTCTGGAAGCTACTAGAAAAAGTGCACCACCAAAATCAGGGAGTTCTCTAAGAAAGAGGTGGAGATGGGATCTAGGAACCAGGGGACCCAGGACAAAAGAAAGGCAAATGTAATCTCCAGCATAATAGGGGAGTCCAGTCTCACCACCGGGCAGCAGGCCTGGGCAGCAAGTGGAAAGCCTCAGAGAGCTCTGGGGGATGAAACTACTGGAGCGCCAGATATCTTAGCACATACAGGTAGGAGGTCCAGACAGTTGAGGGAAGTGTTGAACTAGTGACAAGTAATGGAGCAAAAGCAAAAAGGGGGTGAAGGGGGGACAAGTGTTGACTCCAAGGAAAACAGAAAGTTAGGAGAGAAAGGAAAAGCAGTCACAGTAATTACTCAATTGTGACTTGTGTTTCCATGGACTTGATAATGTAAACACCAAGGAATGATCAAACCAAAATCATTGTATACTGTACTGGAAGGAAGGGGGACAGGACGCACGTGTTGGTTGGGGGTTGGGGGTTGACAGGTAAAAGAGCTACATCATCTCTTTTACTGTAAGTCAATAATTCCTAAAATATAGAAAAACAAAGAATTAGCACTATAAACAAGTTATTTAGAGAACTGGAGATAAATGCCAAAAGAAACAGCTGAAAAGGTTTAAAGTGCTTTTATTCTGGGGAGTGTACAATTGGGTGGTTGGAGGTCAGGGATTGCTATCTTTTTTGTAATAGACCTTGTAGAACCATTTAAGTCTGTGAATCAGGAGTGGGCAAACTATGCCCCAAAGGCCCACTGCCTATTTTTGTATGGCCTGTGAGCTAATCGTGGCTTCTACACTTTTAAATGGTTGAAAAAAATTAGAAGTAGAATATTTTGCGACATGAAAATTATAGATTCAAGCTTCAGTGTCCATGAACAAAGTTTTATCAGAACATTTGTCACACTCATTCATTTACATATTGCCTGTGACTGCTTCCATGTTACAACAGCAGAGTTGAGTTGCTGCAACAGAGACCATGTGGCTTAATATATTTACTATCTGGCCCTTTACATGAAAGTTTGCTGACCCCTGCTTTAAACTATGTTCATGTAGGGCCGGCCCAGTGGTGCACCCGGTAGAGTGCGGTGCTTGGGAGCGCGGCGGCGCTCCCGCCGAGGGTTCGGATCCCATATAGAGACTGGTCCGCTCACTGGTTGAGCGCGGTGAGGGCGCAACACCGAGGGTTGCGATCCCATTGCTGGTCGCGGTACAGGCGTGACACCGAGGGTTGCGATCCCGTTACCGGTCACGAAAAAAGACAAAAAGGAAAAAAAAAAAAAACTATGTTCATGTATACCATCAATAAATGTAAGAACTAAATAACTGTTTAAAAAGCAAGTTGTAAACAGGGAAAATAAAAACTTGCTAATGACTTGTTCTAAGGAGGAATTTTATAGATATAATACAAAAATCAAAATTGACAGAAAAATACGCTGGTGAAAAAAGTTAAAGGTAACCAGTAGAAGAATAAAAACCCAGTACATAACATCTAAATAACCAAAGGGAGAAAAACCATGGAACTTGATTAATCGGAAAAAAAGGAAAGAAAAGAGGAACAAAAATAAATAGGATATCAGGGTAAATAGAAAATGGAAAATAGGATGCCACAATAAGATGTGTTTATTAGTGGTTATATACCATGTTCTTGAGAAGAAGATTCGATATTGTAAATACGTCAGCCCTGTATATATTTATCTCTACATTCCATGAAATCCCAATTAAAAACCCTGTGGGAATGTCTTATGTATCTTATATTATCTGGTTCCAAAATTTATTTGGAAGAGAAAATGCAAAAGAATCGATAAGAAAATTTTGAAAAAGAATGCTAAATATGGTTTTGGGAAATGGACTACTTGAAAAATGTTAAGTTAGAGTGCTACCTTACATTATTTATAATAATAAAGTCCAGACATTATAAAGAACTACACACACACACACACACAAACTATAGAAGTATTAGAAGGACACAATAAAAATTGTTTTTACAATCTTTGTGTAGAGAAGTCCTTTATAAGCAAGACTCAAACCAGAATGCCATAAGGAAAAGATTTACATATTTTATTACAAAAACATTTTAAGCCCTCTGTAAAGGGGAAAAAAACAATATTAAAAGGAAGCAACGGGCCGGCCCGTGGCTCACTCGGGAGAGTGCGGTGCTGATAACACCAAGGCCCTGGGTTCGGATCCCACATAGGGATGGCCGGTTCGCTCACTGGCTGAGCGTGGTGCTGACAACACCAAGTCAAGGGTTAAGATCTCCTCTCCTTACCGGTCATCTTTTTTAAAAAAAAAAAAAAAAAAAAAAAAAAAAAGGAGGCCGGCCCGTGGCTCACTCGGTAGAGTGCGGTGCTGATAAAAAAAAAAAAAGGAAGCAACATTTAGGTTTTGGTTCACACACTTGCTTTTTTAAAAAATAAAATATGTACTTTACCATTAATAAAGCAATAGAGAAGAAACGACTTGGAATATCTCTGATAAAGGGCTAATTAACATAATATATAAAGAACTACAAATCAGTTAAGTAAAAACAAATAATTTGATACAAAAACAGTAAGGGGGCCGGCCCGTGGCTTACTGGAGAGAGTGCGGCGCTGGTAGCGCCGAGGCCCCGGGTTTGGATCTTGTATAGGAATGGCCAGTGCACTCGCTGGCTGAGTGCGGTGCGGACAACGCCGAGCCGGGGGGTGCCATCCCCTTACCAGTCAGAAAAAAAAATAGCTTCTTAAAACTTAGGGCTGTATTCTCAACTTGACCTCATGTTTGTATTTAGTAAAAGAAAAAAAAAAAAAACAGTAAGGGATAGTAATGGACAATTCAGGCAACGAAATATCAATGGCAATAAACGCACAAAAAAATGCACAAGTGCAAAGTGATCAGAGAATTGTAAATCACAGCAATGATTACATACGATTTTCTCATCAATCAGAATGCCAACAATTAAAAAGATTAACAATATCCAGCGTTGATGAGATGTGGGGGAACGAGTACTCACACACTCTGCAAGTAGAAGTATAAATAGGTTGAAGTTTTTTGATGGGCAATTACGCATTCCGTAGTAACATTTTAAAAGCACAGCGAGAACTTGGGAGTCTAATGGCATTCACACAGACAGTTTTGGGTTCTCACGCAAAGACTCAGCATTTTTGAATTATGGTGCAGTACCTGCGCTACCAAATGGTTGAACTTGGGTATAGTGTTGCGGGGACAGAGCCACTGAGAGCCATGCTGGCTGGGAAGACCAGCTGAAAGCCAGAGATTAGAACTCTCTGAGACGGACACTGTGGCCTTTAGGGAGAGACATGGCCGGAGATGGGTCATTTCAGACGGAAAGTGAGCACACTGTATTTACTGAGGGAGTTCAGTCAAGCGAGGCTCTGCAGTCAAGTTACAGGGTGGAATTCACCTCAACAGTCACACTGAACTAGCCCTACAGAAGGTTCTAGAAAGTGGAACTAGGACGGTGCACAGAGACGCCAGCGTCTCAGATGTTGAGCTTGCGTCATCTGCTGAGAAGCACACCTGGAAACTGGATTACTATGGGGGAGAGGGTGGCCATTAGCAAACTATGAAATTCCAGAGTGACCGTTTTTATACTGTGCTAACACGCGCACACATAAACTACACCACTGTAACTATTTTAAAGTGTGTAATTGGTCTTTGACTACATTCACTACGTTGTGCAGCTAAGATGGCCACCATCTAGTTTCAGAACTTTTTCATCATCCCGGGGGAAAGCTGCGCTCAGGGTGCTCCGGTGCGGAGGGATGAAACGCCGCACGTGGAGGGAAGCGCACGTGGAGGAAAGAGGCATGGGGGGGGGTGTTCTGGCAAGCAGAGGGAAGCAGCACGTGGAGAGAAGCAGCCGTGCAGGGGGTGGGGTGTGTTCTGGCGCGCGGAGGGAGCAGCAGATAAGCAGCACGTGGAGGGAAGCGGCATGGGGAGGTAAGTAGCGTGCGGGGGGTGGGGTGTGTTGCAGCACGCGGAGGGAGTGGCACGTGAAAGGAAGCGACACGTCCGGGAAGCGGCATGCGGAGGGATCCAGCAAACCAAGGGCACATGAGGACGCTGCTGATCCCGCCAGGCCGTATTTCCTCCGTGGCCGCTGAGGTGTGTGCAGCTATGTCTGATCCTGAGGCAACTTCTAGGGTACGTGAACCCAGACCCGACCAAAATACGGCCCAAGTGTTGCGGGATATGGCCAACCGCCTGCGCATCCAATCCATCAGGGCTATGTGCAGCTTGGACTCTGGGTAAGTTTCCCTCATAAAAGCCCAAGTCTTGTGGTGTGAGGGACCCTGCAGTGAGGAGGCCTTAAGATAAAGGGACCCGTCCAGGCCTAGGGGAAGTCGGTCGTACAGGCCCGTCTCCAGCCACCCCTAGACGCCAGCGAGGCACGGTCCCGGGCAGCTGCCTCTTCTTCCCTGTAAGGTGAGGTTTTCTACGTCCTCACCCATTAGGAGAGAAAGATCTAGAACGTACCTCCGGTGTCCCTGGGATCAGATTGGGCTAGCCGTGGTTTGCATTTTGTGGGGGGAGCAGGGCTTCTTGTGTAATCAGTCGCACTGACTGCCGGGGAATGTATGAGCGACCCTAACCCAGGACTTGAGAGTGCAGGAAGTTAAAAGTGGTCGACTGTAAGAATCGGGCTAAAAATGTGCTGTTGAGTTCGGTAGTATCTATTGAGTTTTGCATCAATATTAACAAGGGGTATTTGTAGTTTTCTTGTAGAATTTTTGTCTGGCCTTGTTGTAAAGTTAATGCTGGTTTTATAGAGTGATTTTCGGATTATTCTCTTATTTTTGGAAATTTGAGGATTGCTGTTAATTTTTTTTTTTTTTGTCTTCCGTTTTTGGTTTATTGTTGGCTGGCCTATACAGGGATGAAACCCTAGACCTTGGTAACCAACTGAGCTAACAGGTCAACCTCGTTAATTTTTCTTTGTGTGGTAGATATTCCCCAGTGAGGCCAATACTTTTGTGTGGAGAGTTTTTTGCTGAATATTTTAGTGTTCTTACTAGTTGTAGGTTTGTTCAGATTTTCTAGTGATTTGGTCTTGTTAGGTTCTTCCCGGAGTTTATCCATTTTTTCTAGGTTGATCAATTTCATTTGAACAATGTTGAATTTATATATATATTGTGGTAAACACATTAGTTATTGTGGTTAGTGTTAGGCAATTATGTTTTAGCCGACGTCTAAGATGGCGGCGGGCGGACAGGAGGAACACCCAAAATGGCTGCGGAGAGTTTCAGGTTTCTAGCACATTTTCCGAGAATCACAAGAAACCCCTCCCCCTTCTTCCTCACCACCACATACCCTTCCCGCATGCGCGAATTTCTCCAAACCCCGCCCTCTCCCCCTCCCATACGAAGAGTCCAGCTCAGCCTGACTGGATATAAAAGGCCCAGCCCGACTCTCCCAGCCGCTGCTCCCACTTCGGAGAGGGCAGCCCGCTTGCACATTTTGCCCGCCTAATACATTATGGTTAAGCCTTTGTCTCCTGGTGTTTTATTTTTCTGCTCAGGCCAGGGCTTTTCCTTTGTTAGCACAATGCCTGTTTTTCTTTTCCTTTTTTTTTTCTTAGTAAAGTCTTCACTTTTATTTCTTATTTTAATTGGGTCGTTTTTTTTTTTTTTTTTTTTTTTCTTAGTTCATTTACCTAAAGTTTTGTAAATTTTTTTTCTTTCTTTCTTTTTTTTTTTTTTTTTTTTTTTTTTTGACCGGTTAGGGGATCGCAACCCTCGGCACGGTGTGGTCTGCACCACGCTCAGCCAGTGAGCGCACCGGCCATCCCCATATAGGATCCGAACCCGCGGCCTCGGCGTTTTTTTTTGACCGGTTAGGGGATCGCAACCCTTGGCTTGGTGTCGCCCGCACCGGGCACCAGCCATCCCTATATAGGATCCGAACCCACGGCAGGAGCGCCGGTGCACTCCCAGCGCCGCACTCTCCCACGTGAGCCACGGGGTCGGCCCTGTAAATTTTTTCAAAGAAGCAATTCTTGGTTTTGTTAATTTTTCTCTATTGTTTTTATAGTTTCTTATTTCTATTCCGATCTTTTTTTATTTTATTTTATTTTGTCTTTTTTTTTTTTTTACTGACCGGTAACAGAATCACAACCCTCAGTGTTGCGCCCGCACCGTGCTCAGCCAGTGAGCGGGAACCGGTCTCCACATGGGATCCGAACCTGCGGCGCTCCCAAGCGGCGCACTCTCCAGTGTGCCACTGGGCCGGCCCAGCGATCTTTATTATTTCCTTCCTTCTGCTAGCTTTTGCTTTAGTTTTTTTTCTAGTTCCTTAAGCTACTTGTAAAGTTAGGTTGTTGATTTCAGATTTTTTAAAATGTGTTTACAACTATAAACATCCCTCTTGGTACTGCTTTTGCTGTATCCCATGAGTTTTAGTATGTTGTGGTTTTGTTTTCATTCATCTGTTTTCTAATTTTCCTTGTGATTTCTGCCTTTTTTTTTTTCTAAACCCATTGGTTATTTAAGAGTGTGTTGCCTAATTTTCAAGAATTTGTGAATTTTCTACTTCTCTTTCTGTTAACTGATTTCTGACTTTATCCCATTGCAGTCAGAGAAATTAGTATGATATTTTTTAAATCTTGCCTTGGAAGCCTGGGCTATGAAACTAAAAAGACAGTGTAGATGCCTCTAAGACCATGTGTTTTCAAGATTTTTTTGCGTATCCATTTTGTTATCTTCACCTTCAAAATGAATAATAGAGAATTGCACTTTCTCAAGGGATCTCTAATGACTTTTAAACCCATATCATTCACTTAGGGGACACTTGCAAGGCAAGAAGTTTTAAGTCCCCATTTTCTTTATTTTTATTGAATGATAATTGATTATACATATCTTGGGGATTCAATGTTGACGTATGTTGGTCAAATCTATATTACTAGTATGTGTATTGTTACAAATTATGCTTATTCTTTATGCCCCTTGTCCAATCTCTCCCAATCCCCCTCCCCCTCCCACCACTGATAACCCTAGATTTCTTCTCACCTTCTGAAAGATCAATGGTTATTCTCTTGATTGGTTGCCTAGATGACCTGTCCAATGCAGAGAGATGTGATGTGTTCAGGTCCCCCAATATTATCATAGAGCAGATGCTTCTTCTGTCACTCTGAAATGGGCTTTGTGGAGAGAGACATCCTCTTCTTTGGTCTCTGCTGGTGACTCTCCTTGTGTCAGTGCACTCCAATGGCTGGCAGACCATCTGCGTGGTGGTTGTGACATCTAGCCACTTTCATGGCAGCCATGGTTACTGTGGTGGGCCACCCACATGCAGGTGATGTTTTTGATACGCTCCTTGGCACTAGTGGTGTGCCTGGTTGTGGGTGGGGGGTCTGGTCCCCGGTAAGTTTCCATTTCTATATTGTGAAACTTGAACAAGGCATTATTAATAGGAATGAGCCTGGCCTATAAAATAGTATTCTTCTGACAGTTGGGGAAGGGCTCTAGGGAGTTGGTTTTGTCTCTTGTCTTATTCTGGCCCCCCTTTTTAATTAATGAGGGACTGACTGGGCTTACATGCAGGTTGCTTTCTAAGAGCAGCGTTTATTTCAGCATTCAGTAAGGGCTGAAGTTACTCGCCCATGAGAAATGTTTGTCTTTCACCATTCACTTCCTGAAAGAAGTTCATATTAGTTAAGAGAATGGGACCTTTGTGGTGGTTCTGATTAACAATGATCCTGAAATTTCCTCAGCATGTGTAAGTTTCACAGACGGATTTAAACTAGTGAGCGTATGTAACTGGGAGTCACGTGGCGAACTTGCCCCCCGTGCACGGTGCTCCACTGAGAGAAGTGGGCTGGTCTCCAGGTGTCTCAGCCTGGTCAGGGTGGAGGTTGTGTGGGTACTGGCCTTCAAAGTGTCCTTCAAGGCTGTGAGCTTGGGAAGCCATAGCCCTGCATCCCTTATCTTTGGCTGGATCCTTCCCAGGCTGGAAGAAATGACTCTGCGTCTTCTGGTCTGAGGATACCACATGAAAGGCGGCTCACTCACTGTTCCTCCAGAGTCCCTTGCCTATGAGAAATGATCTGTGTCGTGTCTGCCTTTCAGCCACTCCATGTCGTGCAACAGCGCCGCCGAAATCATGTCAGTGTTGTTGTTCCACACGATGAGGTATAAACAGGCAGACCCAGAGCACCCGGACAACGACCGATTCGTCCTCCCAAAGGTACGCTGGCAGGGGAGCTCAGGGGCTGCTTCGATATGTGCTGCTTTAAAAAACCCCATTTTAAAAAACACTATGTGCCAGCAAGGCCTGGAGTGGGCTCCGTTTAATATTTTAGTTCATTCTTTGCACGGTAAAGATCTAAAAGGCATTGTAGGGAGGACCGCCTGAAGCCATGTGATGCACATGGCAGGAGGATGGCTTGTGGCAGCTGGCTGCACTTCCTTTTCTCTGGTGGGACCCCTTGACAAAGTCATGCTGCTACTGCCCTCTGTGCTGCCAGGTGAGTGACATCAGTGGATCAGACTTGCTGAGCCTGAGGAAAATTGAGTGTGGCTTGGAGGGACATTCTGCCCCTGTCAGTCAGCTTTCCCTTCCATTTTTCTGCAGACCTGACCTGACAATGATGAGGAATTTTCTCATTAGGGATACAATACCAGCTGCCCCAGGACACTGGGGACAGGAAAGTAAAAGAATGTTAAAGACAAGGTGTATTTCAGAACCAGAACAGGTCCAGAAGAACAACCAACAGAAAACAAAGTGTGTCAGAACGTGTGGCTGGTTTAATGCTATCTGAAGGGGCACTGTGTCCCAGAGCAAAGCACTGTGTCCAAACACCTAGCAGATCAGGGCAGTGGGAAGTAGTTTAAAGACAGATCAAGGGCCGGACCGGGGGCGCACTGCTGCAGTGCGCCGCTTGGTATGCACGGCAGCGCTCCCACCGAGGGTTCGGATCCCACATACAGACCGGTTCCCGCTCACTGGCTGAGCGAGGTGTGGGAGCAACATCGAGGGTGGCGATCCCGTTGCCGGTCCCGGTCCGGTACGGGCGTGACACTGAGGGTTGCGATCCGTTGCCGGACGCGAAAAAAGACAAAAAGGAAAATAAAAAAAAAAGACAGATCAAACTACGGACATGGCTGAAGTACTTAGGGGTTATAATTGTGCCTTTGTCTTGGTGTCCGAAACATGTCAAATGGTTTGGCAAAAACTAAATAAATAAAATTTGTGTGTGCGTGTATGTTTATTTATTTATTTTTTTCCTTTTTGTCTTTTTTTACTGACCGGTAACGGGATCGCAACCGTCGGTGTCGCGCCCGTACCGGGGACCGGCAACGGGATCGCAACCCTTGGTGCTGCGCCCGCACCGTGCTCAGCCAGTGAGCGGGAACCGGTCTTCACATGGGATCTGAACCCTCGGCAGGAGCGCCGCCGCGCTCCCAAGCGGCGCACTCTCCAGTGCGCCACCGGGCAGGCCCGTGCATGTATGTTTAAACAGATGAAGTAAACGTGGGCCATGGGTAAAGGCAAGTCAAGGTGAAGGGTGGATGGGAATTCATTGTACTAGGCTTACAACTTATCTATAAACTTGAACTTTTTTATAATAAAAATTGAAAAGTGGGTGTAGAAACACAAATCAGGTGTTCAGATTTCTGGTTTAAAAATAGAAAAAATTGGGCCAGCCCAGCAGCGCACTCGGTAGAGTGCGGCACTTGGGAGTGCAGCAGCGCTCCTGCTGAGGGTTCGGATCCCATATAGAGACCCGTCCGCTCACTGGTTGAGTGCGTTGCGGGCGCGACACCGAGGGTTGCGATCCCGTTACCGGTCACGAAAAAGACAAACAGGAAAAAAAATAGAAAAAATGCCTAGACTATCACATAATTGCTGCTATTGGAGTCATCAGTCTTAGAGGGATAAAGAGGCTTTCTGGTACACAGTAGCACACTGGGCACTGTTCAGCTGCCAGAGTTTGTGTGTTCATCAGATTTAGGCACCAGATAGAACCGGAAGAAAGGAGAAAGCGCACAGAGCATCGTCTGTCGTGGCTTTGGCTGGACACAAAGCAAGCAGACATACTACAGGTGGAGCCATGAGGGTCTTCGCCATTGGTGCCCCACAGCCATGGGTCTGCCCACAAGCGATCATATCGTCAGGGCGTGGGTGTCTAATGCAGAACAGAATGTTAGGAGGCAAACACTAAGGCCTGGTATTGTCACTGACTGGCAGGTTCTTGGGTTCCATTACAGCTGTCACAGTGCAGAGGTTTGTGATTCCTCTGTCTCCCCATTCAGGCTTTTATTTTTGTTTTATTAACTCTTATATTTTCTCCAGCCAAGCAGGCCTAGGAAAAACCAAAAAGCCATTTTGTGAACTTGTTCTTGAAGCACGCATTGTGCTGGATCAAAGATGAGAAGCAGCATTTGGAAGAGAAGTTTTTCTTTTTGGGTGCCTGTGGAACCTTGTATGTGTCTTTATTCCAGTGTTTTTCCCCACAGCATAAGGGCTCATGGGAAAAAGAAGGGTACCCGTGTGGGGGCACTGCCTCTGTGCCAGGCATCATGCTGACACACCACACATGATGGGGCACCTAAGTCTATTTTTACAGCCTCCGGCTGCCTAAGGAGGGGCTCCCGGCTTCATTGTTCCCATAAAGTGAAGTTGGTCTGAGTGCTGAGCCCAGGCTCAGTCTATGGCATCGTAGAGCCTTGGCTCCAATCAGCCTCCAGAGTTTGTTACAGGAGGGAGAAAGGCACTGTGAGGAGGGAGGTGGTCAGAAGAGACTCCAGTGGGATGGCTCTGCTAGGCTAGAGATGCGAAACTGAAAGGGAGTGTCTGAGGACACAAAGCATGGAGAGAATGCCAGGGAAGATCAGAAGAGCCCGAGGAGGAGGAGAGAGTAGGAAGCAAGAAGGGAGAGAGATCTGAGGATGATGAGGACCTTTCATTCATTCATCAATGGTGGTGATGAACACACCCACCTCATCTCCCCTGGAACAGATCTGACGTGTGAACAGAGGAGGGAGGCAGATAAGAAACCTGTAAGTAAACAGATAGTGTGTCAGAGGGGGCTGAACATTCTGGAAACAAAAGGGAGGGTGGAGGGGGCACTAGTTGGAAGAGAATGGTCCAGAAAGACTTCAATGTTGACGATTAAGCAGAGATTTGGAAGAAGTGAGAGTGAGCTGTGCACATCTCTAGGCGGAAGACTGGAGTATAGGGAGCCACCAGTGAAAGGCCCTGGGGCAGATATGTGGCCCTTGTGTTGAGGGGGTAGCAAGGAGGCCAGGGTGCCGGGAGTGGTGGGATGGGGTAAGCAGGAGGGGATGGGGGCTGAAGTGGGCAGACCAGTGCAGGAACTAGGACTCTTCTTAGCAGGAGACTAGAAGACCTTGCACAATGAGTAATTTAAGTTTTTTTTTTTTTTTTCCTTTGTTGTCTTTTTCCGTGTCCGGCAACGGATCGCAACCCTCAGTGTCGCCCCCGTACCGGACCGGGGACCAGCAACGGGATCGCAACCCTCAGTGTTGCTCCCGCGCCTCGCTCAGCCAGTGAGCGGGAACCGGTCTGTATGTGGGATCCGAACCCTCAGCGGGAGCACCGCCACGCTTCCCAAGCGGCGCACTACAGCAGTGCGCCACCGGGCCGGCCCAGTAATTTAAGTTTTAACAGGCTCTGTCTGGTGGCTGGGTTGAGAATGGCTGTGGGGGAGAGGCAGGGAGGCCAGGGAAGAGGCTGCTGCAATGACAGAGGCAAGAACTGTTTGTGGCCAGGCCAAGATGGTGGCAGCAGAAGCTGTTGAATAAATTCAGTGTGTCTGGAAGCTAGGGAGCAGGCCCTCTGTCATCAGTGCAGCAGTCCTTTGTAACGGCTTTGTGGTCCTCAGAGGGCCGCATTCTCTCCATGGGACTATGATAAGCCCGTGCAGACAAACAGGATGGGGCTGGGGTGGAGAGGTGGCAGAAAATGGTTCGTTTCTAGCATTGGCACTTCTAGATGACCACTTCTGAGATCTCAGTTGACCTGAGTTTTACAAACCAAGGAACTCACACTCTTAAGTATTTTTCTGTTTAAGAATCCGTATTCTCTAGTAGATTGAACATTATGTGGTTTGTGCATGGCTGGGAAAAAGGCCTTGTGAAAATGGCAAAGATCATGCCTTACGTTTTCTGCTTTACGCTTAGGCTCCTTCCTCTGGTTCGCAAAGCTCCAGTCTTTGCACTGCGTGGATGACCTGTGGCTTCCTGGGCACGGGCGATGCGTGTCTTCCTTGTCAGCCCAGTTTCCAGCCAGGCTGGGCCCCGGGCTTGGCTCACAGTGTGCCTCTAACATTGATCTGAGACTTGTGGTGCATGTGGCTGCGGTGAAGAGGAATTCACCCAGCAGGATGGGAGGGGCCGTTCTGATGGGACACCATGACAAGGTCAACAGGAGCCACCTGTGCTCCACAGAGGAGGTTGGCCTGCTAACCATGTCATGCAGCTGTGTTTAGGTTCATTGGGTCCTTTCTCTCTTACAGAAACTGTCTCTTACTGATGCGGTAACAGGATGGTGTGGGCAGGGACTGGGGGCCGCGTGCGGCATGGCCTACACTGGCAAGTACTTTGACAAGGCCAGGTAAGGTGCTTACCCAGAAACCACTGCGCGGCCGTGTCCTGCACTCCCTCGGCTGGGTGGGGTGGGGACGAGGCCTAAGGGGCAGCGCACACTGCAGCCCGGGCCCCTGCAGGTACTGCGTCTTGCTTCCTCTACTCCCCAGGCTGCCCCGTGTCCCATGAACCTGTTGAAATTTCTCATCCCTTGTCGACTTTCTTAGTTGTCCTCCTGGGGTTAATAACTTTTCTTTAACTTGATAGCATTTTAGTGGGGTCTGGGATGTATTTTATTGGTATAAAGCTCCACATTGTCTGCTGTGCAGGAGTTGACTGTGTGCAACAGAACATATGCTGCTCAGGTAGAATGTTTCCATTTTTGTGATTGTTGTAAACTCATTGTACGAGCAGAAATAGAAGGTGGCAGTGCTTTAAAACAATTTGCCAAGAAAGCGTACATGTAAATGTTGTTTAGGCATTTAAGGGAGCCGCTTTCTTCTCATTCCCTTCTTGCCTGTCAATGGGGAGAAGTGTCAGAAGGACCTAAAACTCGCCTGACAGCTAGAATGAGAAAACTAGCCACATGTGAAGCCCATTGCACGAGGGTGAAGCTTTTATTTATTATTTATTTTTATTTTTATTTTTTTTATTATTTTTTTTTTTTTGTCTTTTTCCGTGTCCGGCAACGGATCGCAACCCTCAGTGTTGCCCCCGTACCGGACCGGGGACCGGCAACGGGATCGCAACCCTCGGTGCCGCTCCCACGCCTCGCTCAGCCAGTGAGCGGGAACCCGTCTGTATGTGGGATCCGAACCCTCGGGCGGGAGCGACGCCACGCTTCCCAAGCGGCGCACCATCCAGTGCGCCACCGGGCCGGCCCGAGGGTGAAGCTTTTAAAGCTTTGTTTCTTCGGCTACTGAGTTTGGGCAGAGTTGATGAGGAAAATAGTTTTAGGAACTTGGTGCTCTGAAGCAGCTTTTCCAGTCTTATTTCTTTGGTTCTCTTTCTGGAATGTCTTTGCTTGAGTGGCCCAGGTAACACCCAGCAGGGCTCTAAACCTCCTTTGCTTGTTCCAGCTTCCGGGTGTACTGCCTTGTTAGTGACGACATTTCAGACGGCTCTGTCTGGGAGGCCATGGCCTTTGCTTCCCACCATGCTCTGGACAATCTTGTGGCGATCTTTGACTTGAACTGCGTGACACATGGTGGCTCCTCACCCGCCGCGTACTGCACAGACATCTATCAGAAGCGCTGCGAAGCCTTCGGGTAACTTCTCTCTCTTGCTTTACCTTCTTTCTGTCTCAGCCCCCTTTATATCTTGTAACCCAGTCCCCTCCTCTGTTGGCAGGTGTAGTACTTACGTGGTGGATGGCCGTAACGTGGAAGCGCTGTGCCACGTGTTCTGGCAGGCAGCTCAAGTGAAGAACAGGCCCACTGCTGTGATCGCCAAGACCTTAAGGGGCCGGGGCATGCCAAGTAAGCAAGTGTTTCTTCCCCACTTGTGGTTGTTAAAAACATCTGTCTACCCAACAAAGAGGCAGAAGGAAGCTTAGACTGGCCAGGCAGAGGACTGACTTAGTGAGCAGTGATGATGCCTATAATACGTGCTAGAGGCATCACGCTCTCTTGCGCTCATTAGACGGCAAGTCTGGTAAGGGTAGGAGGGAAGCCCAAACCCGGAGCCAGTGAACAATGGTTTTCTACCTGCAGAGGACTGGTAGGGAATGGTTGTGCAGTTAGCACAGAGATGGAAGGCGTGCTGTGTGCACAAGCAGGTATGTAGTAAGGTGTACATACATACGTGCTTGTCTGGACCCAGGCTATCTGGAAGAGCACACTGGAAACTAGTAAAGCGTTGCATTGGGAAAGGCAGCCACGGAGCCGGGGGCCAGGGAAGGAGGGAATGTTCAAAAACTAACACCTGGCACATTTCAAGGCTGACATCTGAAATCATGCGTCTCAAGTTTAAACAGTTGGAAAGGATGTGGTGGCTGGTTTCTTAAAAAGTTTCAGAAGAAAACTATTCTATAATTCCTTCCCCAAATAGTCTTAACTCTGGTATCCCCAGTTCGATAAGTGTGCTCCTGGCAGAACCCTGGTGTTGTCCTTGCCTCTTTCTCGCCCTTTTATGCCCCCACATCGATGCACAGTCCCTTAGAGTGCTTCCCAGATCCATTCACTCCTCCCCGTCTCCAGCGCCATGACTGTCACCAGGCCCCCGTCATCTCTCCTGAACTGCAGCAGCTTTGCTAATGGTCTTTACACTTCCCGCCCACTTCCTTTCATGCTGGTCTCCACACTGCTACCGCAGTGATCTGTCCACAGCAGATCTGGTCAGTCATATTTCCACGCCAAACCCTTGTAGTGGTTTCCCATCTTCCTTTGGATAAAACTCAAACTTTATCATATCCACAAGACCACTGTCTATCGTCTGCGCTGCCTGTCTCTCCAGTGTCCTCTCCCTCCCTCTCTCCTCTATTTACCAGCACATGAGCCAGTGGCTCCCTGAGGAGCTTCAGGGCCTTTGTCTAGACTGTCCTATCTGACCAGACCCTCTGTGCCAGGGTTTTAACTCCTGTAAGTCCTAGGCTGGCATATTTTCCATCAGGGTATCTTTTAGATGATCTAATAGGCATTCACTAAATATTTATGGAAGGAACGTCTTTTATTTTGTCGCAGACATTGAGGATACAGACAATTGGTATGGAAAGCCAATGTCAAAAGAAAGAGCAGAAGCAATTATTGAATTAATTGAGAGCCAGATACAGACCAACAGGAATCTTACACCAAGTCTCCCAATTGAAGACTCACCTGAAATCAGCATCGGGGATGTAAAAATGACCACTCCACCTGCTTACCAAATTGGTGGCAAGGTAGGCAAAAAGGTGGATAATTGAATAAGCCATGTACATCAACTGCTTTGTTCTCTAATTTTCTTCCTAGATACACAAGATTTTTCATTTATTCTGATCTCCATGGATGACCAGTTAATAGACAGTGTGACATTTAACAGTCATAAGTAATAAGGATGAGTTATTTCCTTTTATTAGCACTAGTTTTTATTCTTTGTTTTCACACTCACTTAGGTCTGAATTTTCTGATTAGTCAATTGCTATTTATTAGCGCCTGGCACTGTATGGCTTTTTTTTTGCTTCCTCACTTTGGTTTGTTTTTGTGTGTGTGTGGTTTTTTTTTTTTTTTTTAAAGCCGGTAAGGGGATCTTAACCCTCGACTTGGTGTTGTCAGCACCACGCTCAGCCAGTGAGCGAACCGGCCATCCCTATATGGGATCCGAACCCGTGGCCTTGGTGTTATCAGCACCGCACTCTACCGAGTGAGCCACAGGCCGGCCCCCATGGACTCTTTTTTTAAAGATGACCAGTAAGGTGATCTTAATCCTTGACTTGGTGATGTCAGCACCACGCTCTCCCAAATGAGCTAACTGGCCGTCCCTATATAGGGATCCGAACCTGTGGCCTTGGTGTTATCAGCACCACACTCTCCCGAGTGAGCCACGGGCTGGCCCTAGCACAGTGTTTTCAAGCTTCATCAGTGTTGCAGCATGTATCAGTACTTCATTTTGATGGCTAGATAATATTCCGTTTTATGGACATGGCACATTTTGTTTATCCATTTATCCATTCATAGACATGGGGTTGTTTCTGCCTTTTTCCTATTGTGAATAATGCTTTGAATATTTTTAGACAAGTTTTCATATAGATGTATGTTTTCTCTTGGGTATATACATAGGAGTGGAATTGCTGGGTAAATATGGTAATTCTAAGTTTAATGGTTTGAGGGACTGCTACACCTTGTTTTTTAATGGAAAAAGTCAATAACGTACAGGTGTCGATTTTCCCTTAACTTATAAATTCAGTCTAATTTCTTTCTTTTTTTTTTTTTTTTTTTTCCATTTTGTCTTTTTTCGTGACCGGCAACAGATGGCAACCCTCAGTGTCACGCCCGTACCGGACCGGGACCGGCAACGGGATTGAAACCTTCGGTGTCACGCCTGCACCTCGCTCAGCCAGTGAGCGGCCGGTCTGTACGTGGGATCCAAACCCTCGGCGGGAGCGCCGCCATGCTCCCAAGCGGCGCACTGTAGCAGTGCGCCACCGGGCCGGCCCCTAAATTCAGTCTAATTTCTAACAACAACCTAATGGAATTTTTTTCATCATTCTAAAATTCTATGTTTTAATTTTTTTGTAATGAGTATTATCAGTTTTAGAATTTGAATTTAAACGCCACAAAGGGGCCGGCCCGGTGGCGCACTCGGTAGAGTGCGGCGCTTGGGAGTGCAGCGGTGCTCCTGCTTGAGGGTTCGGATCCCATATAGAGACCAGTCCACTCACTGTTTGAGCGCCGTGCGGGCGCAACACCGAGGGTTGCAATCCCGTTGCCGGTCACGAAAAAAGACAAAAAGGAAAAAAAATTTTTTTAAATAAATAAATAAATAAAAGCCACAAAGGCATTTGCATTTTAGAAAATAAGTTTTTTAATAAACTGTATGGATGGGATAGAGAATAAATTTAGTTGAGCCAAATGTTTCAAGTAATGCAATGCTATCTGTCAATTTTTAGACAGTAGATCAATTAACGTAGCAAAGTAATTTGAGGAATACAGTAAGAACTGTCAATGCCTGAAATTTCATTGTTGACTTGTGGAGTGTTTTCCTACTTGGAAAGCAGGGATAGGAAAGTGTTCACTAAAAAGAACATAACTCAGGAAAAAGTTGGGTACCACATCAGCCATGTGTGAGAGAGAGACACTTTTGAGAAATTGCTATCCAGTGAGCCAAGTATGGATTAAAGATTGGCTAGCAATCCATGTTTATAACCCTAGAGGACATTGCTGGTGAATCACAAATTTACTTTCTTCAAGATGGGATGGCAGTTTGTAAATCTCCAAAACTGTACCTTCCTTATAAATGGATAGTAAGAAGCTCTACCTTCTTGACCCTTTATGTTTTCTAGTTGGCTACTCAGAAGGCGTGTGGTTTGGCCCTGGCTAAGCTGGGCCACGTAAATGAGAGGCTCATTGTGCTGGATGGTGACAACAGGAACACCTTCTCCGAGGTGTTCAAGAACGAGCACCCGGAACGCTTCATCGAGTGTTTTATTGCTGAGCAGAACATGGTGAGTGCGCTGTGCCTGGGGTGTCTTTCAGGCCTTCTCATTGACTAGCAGTGGCGCACGGGAGGCCCACCCTGTAGTACAGTTTTTCATTCCATTTATAAGAGCAAGGCACTGGAGAAGTCTCCAGGGAAACAGGAGACAGGTAGCCAGGCAGAGTCTGAAAGGTGGCTCCCAGGTCTCCTGCCCCGTGGGGGGGGTAGACTGCTCAGTGCCCTCTGGTTACCCTCTCTCCAGGGAGGCTGAGGGCCACCACCAATGGGGCCTGTGGGCCTAGAGCCATCTGAACCCTGGGCTCCAGACCCAAAGCATCCCGAGCTCTCTCGTAGATCTTTCTGCCCAGTCCAGCCCATCACCAGGCAGTCCTACGCCCAGATGCAAATAGGTTGGGGAGTGCACAGGGAATGCAGTTTGTCTGTCTCTGAGCTGTGGCACAGGGCTTAATAGATCACAGACGTGCAAATGTTGTACTAATTGGAGTATCCAGAATACTAGTAGTTAGACCTGCTGCCTTGGGTAAAGCTGTTCTGCTGATCTGTGCCTCAGTTTCTCCCCAGAGTGATATTAACACAGGGAGTCCCTTCATGCACAGTCACACACACCTCCTCTCAAGAAAGAAGGGGTTAATTCAAGTAAAATCTTTCAACTCTAAAGCTCTGTGCCAGGGTAGAGGAGGATGCCCCTTTCCTGTCTTCTTGTTGTGCAGGCTAAAAACGGTACTGGGTAACTCGGTGATTTTCTTCTAGCTTTCCTGCTTAAAGCAACAGGATGTATTTTACTAGATCCTGCAGTTTGGAGAATGGTTTCGTGCAGGGAAGGGGAAGGCGGTGAAGGCGATGGTGGCTTGGACCAGGGCAGTAGCTGTGGGGTTGGAGAGAAGCGGGCTTATCTGAATGTGCCTTGGCAGGAGAGCCAGCAGGATGTCAAGTAGATGTCAGGGCAGGCACTAAGGCTGGCAATTGGGTGTAGGCCAGAGCACCTGGGTGAGAGTAGTGTCACCTCTTGAGATTGACAAGACAGAGAGGAGTGGATTTGGGGACTCCATGAGGAGCTCTGTTCGGGTTCCTGGGGCGTCTGGGTACCTGTTAGATGGGTGGGTGGGGTGAGAGGGGAGACGGTGGTGTCAGGTCAGTAAAGGTAGATATTGTCTTCCAATGTGTTTTCTCTGCAAACTGCTGTATGTGTTTCTAAACTACGTATCCCTTTCCCTAGTTTTAAGTTAACATCTAAATTTTTTTTTTTTTTTTTTTTTTTTTTTTTGTGACCAGCAAGGGGATCGCAACCCTCTGTGCTCAGCCAGTGAGTGCACCGGCCATCCCTATATGAGATCCGAACCCACCGCCTCGGCCCAGCGCCGCACTCTCCTGAGTGAGCCACAGGGTCGGCCCAACATCTAAATTTTTAATCACAAATGTAAATAGTCACAAAGGATGTAATTACTCATAAATTGAAAAATTTGATGTTTTAAGTTAATACTCATCCAATTAAAGGTTACATCAAGACACTTTGTCAGAAATTAAATCTCCTTTTCTACCTGGATCCTCATTTTCATTCCATCTCCCCAGTACTTTGTACGCATGAAAGCCTTTTACTGGTCATATCATTTTTCTCTGCAACTAAAACATGCATATAAATCGATAGTTGTTTTAAAATTTCTTATATCCCATAGGCCTCTGAGCATTAGAATTTTTTTCTTCTAGGTCTATGGTTATTATTATTAGCTTGTATATCAATGGGTAAAATATACTTGTAATTTGAACAAATTACAGATTCTATTCCTATTTTTTCATTTTAATGATGTAAGTACTAAGGAATCTTATTCACATAAATAAGTAGATGGAAATGGAGGTTTTGCTGAAGGAATGTCACTTAATTCTTTTAAATCCTTCCCAGTTGTAAGCCAAAAATCACATAGTGGTCTTTCATTTAAAGTTGTCTGTAAGTCTTTCAATTATGTTGAACGAAAAGAATTGGGAACCACCTGATTTGGAAAAGGATTTGTCATTTGATATTCAAATTCCTCACTTTCTCAACAGCAGTGTGATTATTTCAAATTGTTCTCTTCAGTTTGATCTGGAGGTCTTACACTCCACTGTAAAATTAAAGTGGACGAGACATGCCTTTGTCCATGGGGTCAGGTTGCTGGTAGGTGATCGTTAGGGGGACAGTGGGAGAGGAGGCCATGGGCCCTTTATCTGTCAGATGAATGTAGAACCGAGTTGTTATGGAGTCAGAGATTTTGACTTTGAAACCATCCACAGCCATGTCCCCCTTGGAAAGTCTTTTGTTTACCCCCCTGAAGATGTTCATATTCTAATTTGAAGCCTACAGGGGTATGTGAGGCCAGAGTTCCGGTGGGGGTGGGGTCACCACTGTAATGCAGATGAGAGTTGGCCCGCATACAACTTCCAGAGCCACAGAGCAGATGAGGAAGAGTGTGAGCATGGAGCCATGAGGATTCACTCCAGGGGCCCAGCAGGAGAGGTGCACGATCCAGCAAATCCAGTGAGGCAGCAGCGTGGTCTTGTTGCAATGGCATGGAAACCTAGAGAAGGAAGCGCCCTGAGAAAAGGGGGTGATTTGTTGTGCTAAAGGCTTGTGCGAAGTCAGATGACCTCTTGTGTTTGGCAGCCTTGAGGTTCCTCGTGGGGATAGCAGCTTAGGTGAAGTAGGCCGGGGAGAGAGTGGAAGATGAGAAAGCAGGACAGTGACTGTAGACAATTTTTTGAGACCTTTTACGGTAAAGGAGAACGTAGGCGTGGAGCAGTCTCTGGAGGGGAGGACACGGTGGAGGTGGAAGTGAAGATGGAAGGTGCTAGCATGTATTTGAACAGCAAGAGAATGAGCCGAGAGAAAGGGAGAAGTTGATCCAGCACAGGAGGGGACGGGGAACTGCTGGGGATTCCTGTGGGAGAGCGAGAGAAGGGCGAGGCTCGGGATGAACCTTCCAGAGGTGCAGGGCTGGGGCCTGGGAGGGCGCTGGAGCGAACAGGCAGCTGAGAGAGAGCCCCTGTCTTCCCTTCTTGTTCCCAGGAGGCTGAGGTGAGGGCACCAGCATCGTCTGAGGCAGAAGTGCGGGGAAGGAGGGAGGAAGTGCGGAAGGTTGGACGGAGAGCAGGGAGGGCGCATGCCAGCGCTGCAGAGCACTGCGGAGTGTGCACATTGCTTGTCATGGGGACTGGGGAGGGGGTGACCAGGCGGAGTCCAGGGATGTTCTCATTCGTGTTCTTTGAGTTGCAGGTGAGCGTCGCACTGGGCTGCGCCTACCGTGGCCGGACCATTGCCTTTGCCAGCACCTTTGCTGCCTTTTTGACCCGAGCATTTGATCAGATCCGGGCTGGAGCTCTCGCTGAGATGAACGTCAACCTTATCGGTTCCCACTGTGGGGTGTCTGTTGGTACGAGTTCTGAATGCCATCATCTCGATAACCTTTCTCCTTTACAGAGAGTAGCATGGGATCTGTTGAACCATGAACTGACTTATGGTTCCACAACGTTTGGTTATTCATGACTTTTTTTTTTTTTTTTTTTTTTTAATGACCGGTAGAGGGATGTTAACCCTTGACTTGGTGTTGTCAGCACCACGCTCTCCCAAGTGAGCCACGGGCCGGCCCTTATTCATGACTTTTTTAACAAGTCATACTGTGTTTTAAAAGTCTCAGACACTCTGGAGAACTTCTGAAGCAAATCTCTTGGTGTTACTGTGAAGTGCCCACTTACAGTCATTAAGAAACAATTGTTTGTCCTGAGTGCCTCTTGTGTGGGGAGCTGTGTACTGGATCTGAATAGGGATAATACAGAGTCACCGGATTTTTCCCTGCCCTCAGGATGGTCACAGCGTAACTGGGGAGAAGCAGCTGGGCAGAGGAGAGGCAGGGGGTTTGGAGCAGCCGGACAGTCTGCTCAGGTGGAGTGGGCGCTGGGATCGCCATGCACACCTTCGTGCTTCGGGCGGTGGGGACCCTTGAGGAACATGTGCAGGGACATAACAGCCACGGTAGCAGTGTTCCCCCGGCAGGGTGGACTAGAAGGCAACCATAGGAAACAGCGAGGGACTGGTATAAAGGTGTGCATTAGAAAATTACGGGAGGATCTGAAGAGAGGAGTAAACGTTCCTAACAGATGGAGGGATCCAAAATTGTGTGAAAAGAAAAAAAAGTCGCCAGGAGTTACTCCCCTGTTAGGGAAATGTCAGGGATTCGTGTTCGTGAATGACAGAAATGAGGACGTGGGAAAGATGATGAGTCACCTGACTTGCCTGCCGTGGGACAGGTCATCTAGGTAGATGTGACAGCTTCCATTTGCTGCTAGACTGCTGATGATGCACATTTGGGAGTCATCTGAGCAACTCCCTGAGAGAATGAGACTGGATAAGAAGGTTCTGGGTGGAGCTGGGAGATCAGGCCATGTGCATGAAGCTGAAGGCGCAGGTGGTTGCCCAGGGAGAGAGTAGAGTGAGGAGAGCAGCACTGCAGGGGGGGCCTGGCAAAGGGGCCAGGAGTCCTTGCCATCAAGTTAGCTATGTGGAGAAGGGGCTCTAAGTCCAGTCCAGAGAGGAGCTGGGCTTCTGAGGTTAGACAGTTGTTCTAGGCAACGCAGTTGCACAGGGATGGACCCCTTCCTGGCTGAGAAGAGCTCAGCTCAGTGTATTTTGGGATTTCTCTTTGCACAGTGTTTCTGTCCAGAAACTCTGCTCGCAAATACACCCAAAGGCATCCTTAGTTACAATAGCACCACCAGGGTGCCCCAAAGGTGTGTTAAGCTCATCTACTTTGAAGGCCTGGAGAAATGAGTAAAACCACACTTCACGCTGATGTAGACAATGCAGAAGAGCAGAGAAGGAAAAACAAAGCCTCAGGGGACCCTCCTTAGGAGAAGAGGCTTGGTGGGGCCCGCCCAGGCCACCAGTTCTTCAAGAAGAGAGCATTAAGTCAATTGGGACCATAGTGCCCAGTGACAGGTCAGTTTGTTGATCTGAAAGGTTGGGAGCTTAACCCAAAGTGTTACAGTGAGATGTCAAGGGAGGTAGGTGTGCAGAAGTTCAGTTTGAATGATGAGTTATGTGCACGTTGTAACTGGGCCATTTTGTAAAGCTCTGCTGCAGTTTTGGGCGCCTTGCGGTAATAAGAGTTGTTGATCCTCTCGGGGCGGGGGGTGGGGTAGAGGGTAGGTTCCTAGTGGGGTTGTGCTCACGTTTTTATTGTGCTCACGTGGCTTTCTCAGGTGAAGATGGCCCCTTGCTGATGGCCCTGGAGGATCTGGCCTTGTTCCGAGCCATCCCCAACTGCACTATTTTCTATCCAAGTGATGCCGTCTCCACAGAACGTGCTGTTTATCTGGCGGCCAGTAATAAGGTACTTATGGGGCACTGGTTCAGAAAATGCTTCTGGGCTCTGCTACTAGTTTGGTACTGATGGTTGGGTTTTTTCTGATTTTTTTTTCAGCATAAAAGTAATATTTATTATAGGAAATCTTGGTCTTAGAATTCTTTCCAAAAATATGACCTTTACAGAAACAGGTGATTATGCACATGAACATATTTGCATTGTAAGATACTCAAACAATACAGAAGGAAACTGAACGAAACCTGACAGCCTCATTCGGGGCTAAGCACAAGAAACGGAGCCCTCCGGGTATTCTAAACAGGAAGAGGTTTCACGAAGGGTGCCGATGAAGTCACAGGAGTGAGCTCCAGGCAGGGTCCCAAACGATAAAAGTGTTGGGCTGACATTGACGCTGCCACCACTGAGATTGTCAGACTTAAGACACACCCTACTTGCTGCAGCCAGGGACAAAGAAGCCATGCTGCTGCCGCCACCACCTCTTGACATCCAGAAAGCTGGAGAGCGGGTGGGAGGACATTACTGCAGACGGACCCCAGGTTTCTAGGCCCTGGCTTGTACTTAGAAGCAGCTAAGAAGGGCAAGAGTGTGGCTTTGGCCTCACTCCTCCTGAGATGTCAGGCAAGGGCATTAGATGGACAGAATCAAATTCCTATCTAGAAGCTAGTTGTAAGGGGGACTAGGGAACGGAATCATGTAGTCTTTATCGTCCCAATTTCTCCAACTAACGCTCACCAGACTCCTCTCTCCACCCGCAGCCATGTCCCCTGCACAGGGAACCCTGGGCACAGTTGGGTGTATCGTGCAAGTTCCCTTTCTAAACATTTATAACACATATAGACACTTTGGCTTTTTTTACTTGCTATATCTTGGATATTGTTTTGTTTTATGATTTCATAAATGCCATCGGATTCTATTCCTAGAATGATCGTGTGGTGTAGGCCTGCATCAGAATCCATGGAGCGCTTATCCCTCACTCGAGTGTGTGCTTTGTTTTTAGTAAAGTGTTCAGTTCTCCTTTCCCCCCAATTTTTTTTTTTTTTAAAGTTTATTAGTTTTAGATTTTCTCAACTGTGGCTTGGGTTTTCATTTATGCCCTAGGGAATGTGCTTCATTCGGACCAGCCAACCAGAAACTGCAGTTATTTATACCCCCCAAGAAAAGTTTGAGATCGGACAGGCCAAGGTAAGGATTTGAGTTCTTCAGTGCTATCCAGTATCATTTCATGTGAAGAGAACTACTCTACATCTAGCACAAGGTATCCCCATAACAACTTGAAGGCACTTCAGTGTATTGGCTGTAATGTATCACAGCTTCAAGCTAAACGTAACAGAAACTATTTCAAATGAATAATAGATGTTAGGTTCAGATTTTCCATATCTAAGGCTGGGAAGAAAAGGTAACATGAACCATCTTGGCATTGGAAATTCTGTGGCCCCGAGGCTGGTTTTGCACACAGGATATATAGCCTTGCCCATGATCCTGCTGTTAAAATCAGATTGGTATTGCCGAGCACTTCCTGTGTCTGATGCTTTCACAAAAGCCCTGAAAAGCTGGGATTATCAACTCTGTTTGTAGATGAAGATCAGAGAAGGTAAGCAGCTTGCTCAAGGGTTCACAGCTTGTGAAGATTCAGGCCCAGGCAGTGAGGCCAGCCGATCTGGGCCTGCACACCAAACTGTCCACCTGCTGTTCTGCCTGCCTCTCAGGACTATGCATGGGGAACACCAGAAAAGTCTATAGGAAAAAATGAGTGATTCTACCTATCACCTAGTGAGTGAGGCGTACGGACATTTTGCCATGTTGTGTATGTGGACACTTGAGATCATACTGTGTGGAAAAGTTGTGTGTTCGTGTGTGTTTACACAGTTGAGATCATACTGTGTGGAAAAGTTTTATGTCCTGCTTTTATCTCTATTAATGCCATTAATAGTTCTCTTAAATATATGAAATACCTATAGCCACTCTTGAAGGAGCAACAGGTAACATCCAACTTGATTGTTGAAGGCTAGGCTGCTCCAAAATTCATAGTTGCTAGTACTGAGAGTAACTGTGTCTTAGTTCTAATGAACATAGTGCCACAATAAAGCAGGTATTTCCAGAACAGTCCACCGTGTGCCATCAGGTAGCTAGAAAACATCACTTGAGTGGAAAAGGTATAGTATTCACCTTTAGGGTTAACTACAGGCTCTATTGTTCTCTGTACTCTCACATTTAATACATTTGGGGGGGCGGGGGTGCCTTGACATTTGTATGATTTGCAAAGCTTTCTTATCTCTCTCCTCTTTTTTTCCCCTAATATTTCCCCTGTCCTGACAAAAAGAAGTAAATTTCCTGATGGTAAAGGATGTGAGTTAAAATTGCATGGCATGGATAATTAAAGTGCTGGGTTTTGCAAAGGGTACATAGATGTCTGTGAATGGAAACGTGTATACGTGTTTATACTTTAAAAGACTACAACATCCTCAAAGAATGGGGTGGTTTACAAACTCCTGAATATCTGTACCATCAGCAGTGGTTCTTAAGCTACAGGGAAATATAGAGAGGGATAAAATGAATACTTCCAGATACCTTTAGTGTGGGTGGCTTTGGAGGAAGCAAAACTATAAAAGAAGCTTGGGAACTCTGTCTTTGCTTATTAGTTTGTTTGCTGGTAAGTTGTTGAGAACGTGAGCTTTGACCTCAGCCTGCCTTGGGCCAGTTCTCCTGCTTTGAGATTCTTTCCTTGGCTGCAGAATGGTCCCGCTACTTCACAGACCTTTAGGGAGGCTGTTAGGATTCTCTGAGCTCAGATATGCAAGATGCTTAATGCAGAGCATGTTGCAGATGCCAGCACATTCCCTGGTAACATGTGAAGTGTGTGTGCCTCAGTAAGCTCTCAAACCCGGCCAGAGGTGGTACATTTCCAGGCTGTTTGGTGGGTGTAAGTTAGGGTACGTATCCATGCTCCAGGGCAGATGGGCGGTAGAATCCCTTCTGGTCTCTCTGCCTTTTACTAATCCACCTTCTTTGACAAAGGGTCATTTTTTGTATTCTGTAAGAACTTAATAATTTAGCATTGTAAATCAAGAGAGAAGGTAGATGAGTTTTTAAAACCAATATAAAGTGGGGTATATCAAAAGGAACGTGTCCTGGGGCAGTCCGGTTAGTTCAGTTGGTTAGAGCATGGTGCTGATAACACCAGGGTCCAGGGTTTGATTCCTGTATCAATCAGCCAGCCACCAAAAAAAAAAGTGTGTCCTGGCTTCTAAGTGCATCTGATTGAGTCCTTTTTATAGTGAACCATTAAGGAGTGAAAACTGTTAGGATTGGGGAATTAGGAGCGTAGCAGAGCACCTCCGTTTTGAGATGTACTCTCTACATAGTAACCACAGCATTTTGTTTTGCTGGTGCTATACCAGGTTGTCCGCAAAAGTGTCAATGACAAGGTCACGGTTATTGGAGCTGGAGTTACTCTGCACGAAGCCTTAGAAGCTGCTGATAATCTTTCTAAAGAAGGTCAGTTGGTTGTGTCCGAACATTGAAGTTCAAGGTGGGGGGAGGTAGAACTTCAGCTACCTGTGTACTTTGGTCTTTTTATTTATATACCCGCATACTCTATTCTAAGTCTGCTTCATACACCTGCTGGTTATTGCTGTATTTCAGATATTTTTATCCGTGTCATCGATCTGTTTACCATTAAACCCCTGGATGTTGCTACCATCATCTTCAATGCAAAAGCCACAGGCGGCCAGATTATCACAGTGGAGGATCACTACCCAGAAGGTGTGTGCAGGCCTTGGGAAGGGTTTTCATTTTGTTTTAATGGGAAGCGATTTTGTTCTCCTTGGTTGGAGATGTGCTGTGCTCTCTTGGTCATCACCTCCAGCCTACCACTTGCCCAACATACCTCTCTGCACGTGTATTAGTATGGAGCCATGCCTGTATGCATTTGTGTGTCCCCAGCAGAGTGCATAGTGCCCAGTCACCAGGGTGGGTCAGTGGCAACACAGAAAAGTGGCTGACCTCAGCATTGTGCACAGGGAGAATTCATGAAAAGCTTGACAGTTTTTGAATTTTGAATGATTAACAGTTTGCCCCACCCCAAAAAGTGGGAATAGTGCCTTGCAAGCAGAGAACACAGCAAATGCAGAAAAGGAGTGTGTGCCAGGAAGAGGGGCTGGGAAGGTCAGGTAGAAGGGTAGAAAGATGTGATGAGTCCCTGACAGCTTTGAGAATCAGCACCACAGATTCCCCCCCCCCATGGATCCCAGGGTGAGAGCAGCCCCTGCTATAGGTGGGGGTGGGAGCAATCTGGAGCCTTGCGGTTCAGTATGAGAGTAGAGTTCTTCATGCCATTTGTAGAATGACTGTTCATAAATCAGTGACTGATGGAAGAATTTCCCCCTGTGAACCAGCAAATTCAAAGGCTTCTATATAATGGGGCTTTAAGGCTGACTAGCTGCTTCAAGAAAAGATCCTCATGTCCCTTCCTTCCCTAGGTGGCATTGGGGAAGCTGTCTGTGCAGCCGTCTCCACAGAACGTGACATCGTGGTGCATCAGCTGGCAGTTTCGGGAGTGCCTCAGGGTGGCAAACCGCAGGAACTGCTGGACATGTTTGGAATCAGTGCAAAACACATCACTGTGGCCGTGAAATGTATTGTAATGGACTAAAGTAGCTTGCCGGCTTTGGTCTGAGAAAAGTAGCCTCTTTATACATTTATACTTGTTCCAAAACTATCCTTTAAATATATACTGCTGTGCTTTGTTCTCTTTAAAGCAAAGCCAGTTAATATCTTTCTTTATTCCCGATTCAGAAGTTCAAGATAACTACTTTTCTTTTAAACCATGGCCGCATATACAGATGTTTCTGTCATTTTCAGTCATTTAAAGTGTTACAAAAATTTAAGTAACAAAATAGCTAACAAAACCACCACCTGATACTGTTTTCTGATAAGACTACAGATAACTGGGTTGAGGATCTGTGTAGAGTTAACAGTTTCTTCAGTGTATTTTGCTTGGAAGTAAAGAAAATGTGACTTGAATTGTATACTTCTGTAGCCCAGATTTTGCAGCACTATAACACCGTGATACATACTGCTGTCCCCAGTCTGAGATTCCATGTGCTGCTGTCCTACCTGCAGCGTCCTGGGTAATGTGTGACTGCAGTTGCCCTGGAGTTCCTCTGATGTTTGCCTTCATCTCCCTTTCACAGTTCAGAGGCTGAGTAGCAGTGAAAGCTGTTAGGATGTCCTGGGTTGCTTGTAGGGACTGTTCTGTGAAGAGATTACAGCTGCTTCTGGTGTCCACACTATTGTTCAAGTCAAGTTAATAAAGCATTTCAAAACTAACGGCTTTATTCAGTCTGTCCTTTCTATATGATTCAGTTTCTCCTTGATAAAGTCCTAAGTAAGGAAGGCACTTCTGTCTAAACCAGAAGGAGAGGGCCGGCCCGTGGCTCACTCGGGAGTGTGCGGTGCTGATAACACCAGGGCCCCGGGTTCGGATCCCATATAGGGATGGCCGGTTCGCTCACTGGCTGAGCGTGGTGCTGACAACACCAAGTCAAGGGTTAAGATCCCCTTACCGGTCATCTTTTTTTTTTTAAAAAAAAAAACAGAAGGAGAGAGAACAATGGCCCCCAGCAGTAAAGCTGGAAAAGGGTAATAGGCTGCGGATGAACCACTCCCTACGAAATAGTGGATGGCCTGAAAAGCCATCCCTGAGCCAACCCCTTCCTTTCAGCTGTGGGCACATAAATTATGTGGCCGGAATACAAGAAAAGTTACCAGCCAGATAGATGGGCCCGAACTTCAAAACTAAATTTAAAATTATACTGGATGTGTCTGGTATGTCACATTTCTTATTTTTATTGCCTTCAATAAGTGGTCATCAGGAGTCTTTGGAGCTGTGACCAGTTTGTCTTAGGAATTGTTCTAGAATGTGTGGTAAAGACTGAAGAACTAGCCTGGGACTAGGAGTTCTCTGGGTCTACTTGTTTATTCCACCCCTTCTAAATCATTCAGCTTGGCCTGTAAATAAAATGAGCATGATTGCTCTATTTCATAAGATTTCAAAATTACTTTGTAAAGGGCCGGCCTGTGGCTCACTTGGGAGAGTGTGGTGCTGATAACACCAAGGCTACGGGTTCGGATCCCATATAGGGATGGCCGGTTTGCTCACTGGCTGAGCGTGGTGCTGACAACACCAAGTCAAGGGTTAAGATCCCCTTACTGGTCATCTTTTAAGAAAAAAAAATGACTTTGTAAAAATAAATTGATATAGGGTGATTTTAGAAAATGCAAATTAGCAAAAAGATTTTTGGCCCCAAATCACAATCTTAAGGTAATCAATTTCTTACACTGCATACAATTTGCTCATTTAAAGTGTACCATACAATGGTTTTTAGTGTACTCAGTTGTGTAACTATCACCACAGTCAATTTTGGAACATTTTTTATCACCCACCCCCTCAAAAAAAAACCCATACCACTTATTAGTCACTTCTCATTCTCTCATCCCCTGGTGACCACTGGTCTACGTTCTTTTTGTATGGATCTGCCTTTTCTGGATATTTCATATGAATGGAATCATACCATATGTGGCCTTTTGTGTCTGGCTTCTTTCACTGAGCATGATGCATTTGAAGTTCATCCATGTAGCCTGTGTCATAATTTCATTCCTTTTTATGGCCAAATAATATTTTGTTGTATGAATATACCACATTTTATCTGTTCATCTGCTGATGGATGTTCGGGTGGTTTCCACTTGTGAATAGTGCTGTTCAGAGCTTTCACATACACAGGATTGTGTGTAGATGTATGTTATTACTTTTCCGGTACCTATATACAGCTAGGGGCGGAATTGCTGGGTCATATGGTAGTTGTGTTTACCGTTCTTGAGTGTGAGGTTTGTGTGTACATGTTTAAACAGTTTTGTGAGGAGTAAATGAGACAGTGACTGAAGGTGCTGTGCAATCTGAAGTATTACATGCGAGGGTACTTTAAAAAGTTCGTGGAAAAAGAAAATTTAAAGATAATACAAATCTTTTGAAGTAGCCTTGTACTACAAGCCATTAACACAGACAAGCCAAAACGTGGGTGGCCCTGCTTGGTTGTATTTGGGTGTAAAACGGCAGATTTGGTGATAACTATAGTGGCAGCCCAAATGGAGCCATGATAAAAGTGCAATTCCTAAAGGCAGGAAAGAGCCCCAAAGCCTCAATTCAGGCCTCCTAGGAGGTGCTGGGCAGAGACAGTCGGACAAATGGAAGTATAAGAGGGGCTCAGGAGCCAGGGTCACAGAAGGGAGTGAGCCCTGTTGCCAGCTTGGCCAGTCTAGCTTCAGTGTAGCCAAGGTGTCATAGGTGATGGGGTCAGACGCACTGTAAACTCGTGGAGGCGCTGAAGTGTGAAAGTTCCTTCCTTGTTCGGGGGCCTGGTAATGAAGGCCGGTGGAAAATGCCATGCACCCCGGCCTTTGGCGCCAGCGCCGTCGGCCCCGAGTGCACCTGATGTCTACGCGCCGCCCTGGGAGGATTCCTCCCATGGAGAAGCTGTGCAGCAGGGACTCTGGAGCCACGCTACCTGGCTTCAGTCCCCAGATCTGCTGCTGCTTGGCCGTGGGACTTTGGGTCACTAGATAGTGATGGTAGTGCTGATGAGGGGTGACAGTATGTCATGGGCTGTGGTCGGTATGTTAGAAGTGCCATCTAAATAGTCCCACTTAGACCCGCCCTTGCTACCTG